AATTGCTTTGATATTACATATATAGGTAGTACATGTGGACCTCTCTCAGATTTGTTCATTTTGTGATGGTATCTTAAATTCTCAAATTTTGGTGAATATTTTTGTAATTTTTGGTAAAAAGTGATATTTTCGACTTGTTAAAAACCAAAAGTTCAATTGCTTTGATATTACTATATAGATACATGTAGACCTTTCTTAGATTTGTTCATTTCGTGATGGTATCTTCAATTCTCTAATTTTGGTGAATATTTTGATCATTTTTGGTAGAAAGTGTTATTTTCGACTTCTTGTTAAAAACTGTAAGTCCGATTGCTTTGATACTACATGTATACATATTGTTCATTTTCTAATGTCTTCAGTTTTTTAATTGAAATGTGCATTGCTAACAGCGGAGCTATCTCAGCCGATAGACTGCTTGTTTAGTGTTTATATTATTATATAATACATTGTGTATTTGTTTTTCGGTGTGATTCAATATGGCAGTCTGCCTACAATTATTTTTTCCTGAAACCATCATCTGGAAATGTCATTTGACTTTTGATTGTGATGGAAAAGAATTGAGTGAGAAAATCAGCTGGTTCTACAAGATAAAGAAAAACAAGATGAGATGTTTTGTTCTCATACTCATTTATTTATGGAAAAAATATGCTTTTATGTCTTGTGATCAGTGTTGGATCTTCAGCACATGCCCCATCACCCTTTACATCTTTTATCTATGCTTATTCCAGTCTTTATAAAAAGACTTGAAATAAATTTTTCTATCTTTTTCAGCACAACTTTAAGTGCAGGAGGTACTCCACGTAGACCATGTCTGGGAATTACAAAGACTGGGTTACCATGTAAAAGATCTTCTATAAAGAACCAGGATTATTGTACAACACACTTGCCACATTGAAGCTGCCATAAAAAATGCAGTGTTGATAAGTGGTCCTATCTATTGTCGCAGCCGTATTGAAAATGCAGTGTCTGATAAGTGGTCTTATCAAATTGTAGCAGCCATATTAAAAACAACTGTTTTAAGTTGTCTTGTGATCAGATTTTTGAAGAACTGATATTTACATAATCATTCATTGTTTTTTGGGGGTTTAATTTTCCTAGTAATTATATTTTTTATATTTTGAATTTTTTTTGTCCAAAAACTGAAATATTGTGGAATGAATATTATTTGTATTTTGTGCATTTTTTATTTACATGTTAAATTTTTTTTCTTGTTTGTGTTTAATTTTCCTAATAATTACTGGTATATTTTTTATATTTAAATTTGTTTTTGTTCAAACTTAAATATTGTGGGAATGCGTATTATTTGTATTCTGTGCAATTATTTTAATTTACACGTGTTAACTTTGTTTTCTTTAATTCATACTGTGGTTGCAATAAAATTGAATATTTATTATACAATGATTCAATATTCCATTGTTAATTTTTAGAGGAGTCTGATATTTGATAAAATGTACATTCAAAACAAATTGTCCTTAAAAGCTAAAATATTACTTGTTGTCCAATCAAGTATTCTACAAGTAAAGTTGGCTTTTTTTCTTGCCACTGTATATGCTGATGGGAAATCAGTCCTGATAGTTATGTAATTTTCATCCAGGACACAAATTAATGCAAATAGTGGTCCCTGTCAGGTTTAAAAACAGATCGGTCCATTATAATTCACTTTATCTACTATACTGACAGTAATCAATATTTTATTACCGTAAAATCTGTTTTAGAAGCCGCATCCCTGATACAAGCCGCACTCATTCTTTTAAAACAATTGAGAACCAAAACGTTACCATTTCTCATTTCTATAGATGCTCTAATAAAAGCTGCATCCCCTCTGTTGCATTGTCCCATTTTTATAGAATACAGGGCTTCTAATGTAGATTTTGCAGTACATTGAACCTTCTGGTGCCATTTTGTTTTTCTCTGAAATTCACCATAAATGTGTC